TACGAGATACACGCATTAGGTGAAACACTATAGGTCTATATATATTTTGTCCAAAAGGTTGAATGCTCAACCCCAAGGCCCCCCACCTCAACCCGAAAGGATGATGGGGAGGTTAATCACGGTGACTCAGTCAGCAAAGCGGCGGTAGACCTTATACACGTGTGCACCAGAGGTCTAGCCTTATTTCAGCTTCTGTAACATCCACACGGTCGCTGCGGGTTTCGAACCTTGGTTACTTGGTCCAATTTTCCTACCACTCGAACAACTGAGCTACTCGTGCGGATATAGGTCTATATATATCATTTCACTAAACGTTGTCAATTTGCTTTATTTGTTGTTCTATTTTTATCATTTACTTGTTCAGCATATTACCATTGGTAAATAGTACTGAAAAATTTCAATCACTTAACTTTACTTTGTTTTTTCATACGTAGTATATCAGTAAAAAATCGTAAAGTTTTAAAAGAGGAAATCGAAGCACCTACAAGAATAATACTATCGTATTAATGTTGGTTTGTTTCCCTGTAATGGATGGCCGGTGTGAGATGACTTTACACACCCGTAAAATAGTTTGATTAATATATCAAGTTAAATAAGATCTACGAAGTGTGACTTAATCGTACTATTAGGAGGTCGTATGGCAACCCTCCTTTTCGGCTTATCAGACTTATCAGTCAACTTTTTTACCAAACACGTAAATTTTGCTTTCGCACGCTGAATTATGTAATAAGCCGAAAAAATAAGGTTGAAGTTACTTTTCTAGCTGTATTGGCTGAAGTTACTGTAGATGCTCATTTTAGCTATTTTTACATATAATTTTTTCTTTATTTTATTAATAAAATATATTTTAAAAATATTTTTTTCTTGTATCAGAAGAATCAGTCAAAACAGCCGATTTTCGTGCTACCAAACAAGCGCTAGGTCTGTTAGAGTAAATGGACTATTGTTTTCAGGGGCAGCCAGAAGGGTCAGATTTTTTTTTAGATAAATACATACTAATATATATCAATTTATTAATTGGGGGGGGGGGGGGGGGGGTAAAAATAAATTTTAAGATAAAATTAATAAAAAATATAAATGGGGGGGGGGGGGGGGGGGGGGCAATGCCCCCTTGGGGTTACATGTAGCTCCGCCCCTGATTGTTTTTTAATTTCAGTGCAAAAATATTCATTTTTTACGTTTCTGTAAATGCAATCCGAATACGAGTTTTAGAATTCTTTATGATATTTCTAGCGAAATTATGACCAAATCTAATTCCTTTATATAATGTTATATTTCCTTCGTTTCTTAAAACTTGTAAAATTGTCATTTTACACAACTCAGACTTCTTACTTTGACCATGATTTTTGACTAATATATGTAATCCAACTACTACTCCGTCCCTAAATGTTTGTCTTACTTTCCCAAAACGGATGTTCCAAAATGTTTGTCCTACTTTTTTAACTTTCTTATTTGGTAAACAAATCTATATCAAACAGTGCAAAACAATGCAAAACAGTGCCAAACAGTGGCGCTACAGTATCAAACAGTATCGCTACAGTGTAAATTCAAATTCATTTTCTTAAAACTTGTGAAGTCTAAGTAGGACAAACATTTAGGGACAGAGGGAGTATTATTTATTAAATGCTATTAAATTTCTATTAATTTGGATTTCAAAAATCAGAACTTTTTATAATGTTTACTAAAACGTACTTAAATACTCTCTCAGTATTTAAAAGATCACTACATTAGGTGTTGGCACAATATTTAAGGAAAGAATAGTAGGGGTAATGAATAATGTAGCAAACTTTTAAATACGAAGGGAGTAAGTTACGGTTAAAGTTGTACACTGGCAAATATGAAAATTAATCTGTTGGAACTATTAAAGAAATACGATAGTATAATATATTCGACCCATACATGTCCAAACTCATCCATTTGTGGCTTTATAGGGATGTTTTACTTGGGGTGCCTTTAGTCCCAAAACAAATCGGACCAAATCAAATCAGATCACATCATACTAGATCAGATCAGACTTCAATATTAATAAAATGCACTGAGATTAGACATTTACGAGACTAGACCATTCTAATTTGGATCAAATCAAATTAGATCAATAAATTTCAGTTCAAGTAAAAACATCCTAAAACGGGTTGAACTGATTGAATGGACCCGGCTCTTTTTTATAGGAAGTCGATGTAGTCGGAGGCTTTCAATTTGAGCATTTTTGAGGTCGAATTAGGTAACGAATACGCTTTTACACAACATGCAGCGCGACGGTTAGATCGTGCCAAACTGCTTAAGTTGGTCAAATCTTGTGAGTGCATTCGGAAAAAGTTAGTGGATCCACTAGTTATCAAACAAGACCGAAGAGTCGAAGACTACATTCCAAGATGCCTCACTAATTTGATTGGTTTAAATAGTTAGAATATATAAATGGAGGTTGCTCTGTTTTTTAGGAATGTTTTTTATCACTGATTATTGGATACTTCTTCGTCCCTTAATTATCTCCTCAATTTACAATGCACACAAATTAATATAGTAAGGTTTGTGTGGTGGAGAGTTGTGCAGAGAAGAGAGAAATTTGAAAGAATGTGTAAGAATTGTTGTGAAACACAAATTCTATGCAAAAAAGGAAATATGAGATACTTTTGGTACGGACGAAAAAGGAAAGTTTGAAAATAATATAGGGACGGAGGGAGTACAATTTTGACAAATATAGAGTATGAATTTGTTAAAACATACAAGGGATGAATACATTTAGTATTGTGAAATTGGTCTAAATAGGAGTGAACAAGTTTTAGAATTTCAATGTTTTTCTTCCCAAAATGGAAGATTAGAAGTCATTGTTGTTAGGATTGAAAAATGTCATTAATGACAGTAAATACTTCAATGTTAATACCCAGTACTTCAAATGTTTTGACAATAATGACTTCAAGATGACTATAAGAGTATCTCCAATGGCATAATGTGCACGGTGTACATGGTGGCATAAGAGATAGCCACATAAATATTAGCAAATAAATTATCTCTCTCCTTATATAAATTGTTTGTACAATTTTGGTATGTTTTTCTTCACAATGTCAAGAAGACCGTCTATATGTTGATATTGAGGTTGACATTGCAGAGAAAATTTACCGAAATTGTATAAAATCATTCAAATAAGGAGAGAGATAATTTATTTGCTAATATTTATGTGGCTATCTCTTATGACACATGTACACTATGCACATTATGCCATTGGAGATGCTCTAAATATTGTTATATTACTCATATTTCTGGAGAGAAAAATTGTCTTGTGCTTCCTGATCTTATATTTTCTACTCGGTAATAAATTTATTAATTTTACAATTTTTATTGAAGGAAAGAATTGGATGGATCAAATGAACAACAAAACAAACGGATGGCATTTTGAGAATGAAAAAATTCGCTGACAATCTTTATGGAATGTAAAAGAAGAATGAGTACAAAGGAAAAAGGAAGATGGTCCCACTTCCATCCATAAATTCTCCATTTCTTCAAATAAGAAGAGATCATTGAAGTCAATTTTTCTTTACTTTTTCATTCTCTATTTCTCATCTACCAGTGAATCACCTGCGAATGTTTGGGTGTCTTCACGACATCATAATCAATGGAAAAGTTAGTTTAGCTTTTAAGAAGTATCATTCTATACATAATAATTTTGTTACATTAGCATCTTATTTAGAACAATTCTTGGTATAATGGTATACACGTTTCAGATATACATACTCATTTATACACTCAAGTCATCTATGTTACTATGTACATATATAGTTCTGTCCAATGAATTGTTAGTGTGTATAGATGAGCGTATAAATTTTCCTCTTGTTTAAAACTTCACGATGTAATGGATTAAAATTATCTGCAATTCTGGTGAGAATGTTATTAAATTAGAAAGATAGTGTTATGTTGATTTACTTTTTAAGAATTACTACGTATGAGATTGTGGAAGACATGTAAAGTAACCTACACGGGTAGCTCTGTTGGTCGAGTGATGAGATATTTGGATCAATGGACCAAGGTTCGAATCCCCGCAGCGACCGGGTGAAGGTCACACAACCTGAAAAAAGGTTGGGCGTCTGGTGCACACGGGTGTATGGACCTACTGCCACTCTGTTGATTGAGTCAACGTGACTAACATAATCATCACCCCGTCGGATCGGGATGAAGACTTCTGAGACGGGTGATTTCACCTTTTGGATTAATGGGAGACATGTAAAGTAAAATTCCTTCTTTTGATTCAAGAATTGATATTATTTGGGTAACCTTAAATACCGCTGAATAAGAAAATGAGGAAATATGAAGGATAATTTGATTACTTTGGATCTTTTAGGTAATGTAAGATTACCTTTGATTAACCTTTAAACCACGTCTTCTTGTAATTTTTTAAGAAACATTAACATTAAAGTTTTACTATATCAACCAAACATACGAGATAACGTTACATTTATGTAATCTCATACTCCGTGCGTATTCTTTAAGTAACCTTATTATCTAGATAATCCTACATCCTCACATATAATGCGAAATTACCTTCTGGGAGGTAATAACATCACCTAAAGTAATTTTATATTCCGTAAAACAAATGCCCCAAGTGATTCTCCATGGTTATCACACTTTAAGCGTTCTTGTGATTCATTTGAATTCAGTTGTAAGAGATTCGATAAAAATTTAAACAATGTTAACTTGAAAAAAATTGAAGTTCAAAATTAAATACTTCCTCCTCCGTCCCTTAAAGTTTGTCACACTTTCCCAAAACGGATGTTTCAAAATGTTTGTCCTACTTTTTCAACTTCTTTATTTGGCAAACAAATCTATACCAAACAGTGTTAAACAGTGCAAAACAGTGTCGCTACAGTGTGAAACAATATCGCTACGGTGTAAAGTCAAATTCATCTTCTTAAAACTTGTGAAGTCAAACTATGAAAAACTTTAAGGGATGAACGGAGTATGTGAGTATCGATTAAAAGTCAACCTCAGTTTATTTTGGATATTAAAGGTGCGATTTAAGTATGATTGATACTTCCTTTGTTATTCAAATCCCAGGTGACAACACCAGATCAGAGTTTTCCCATAGTACTTCGTCTAATACAAGACTAAGCTAAATTACAACCAGTTCCTATACAACTCTCTTTAAGCATTATATTTAGAGCACTTACGGAATAGAGAAGAAAAACCATAAGAAATTATTTCCTCAGCTGATATTTAACAGAGTTGTTATCTATATAGGTTATATAGGACGGGTGCCTATACAAAAGAAAAAAGATTCTACTAAAATAGATAAACAATTCATCTCTATCAACACAAAGAATCCTCGTTGCTTCTCCGGTGGACGCCTCCGGTGAGTTCTTCCGCCCTCCGGGCTTCCAGCTCCCAATCGGTCCGGAGCAAAACCACCAACATGGTGACCATACAAGAAAACTGCGCCGCCAGCAGCCCAAGCCAGAGGCCCTCAAAATCAAAACCGCCGAAAAAACTCAGCGCCACGGCCACCGGCATTCCGACGATGTAGAAACTGCTGAGGTTAATGTTGGCTCCTGTCTTCGGGCGCGCCGTCCCTCGTAGGACGCCGCACCCGGTGGTCTGCGGGCAGTTCCCGAGCTCGCAGAGGCCAATTATGGGCAGAACCAGAGTGGTGAGGGCAATTATGTCCTTATCCTGGGTGAACATCCTGGCCCAGACATTCCTGACGGAGATGGCGAAAAACAGGGCCGTGAATCCAAGAACGAAGCTGCAGGCGAGGCCCACAACGGCGGCGCGTTTGGCCTTTCCCGGCTCCCTTGCGCCAAGCTCATTCCCCACTCTGGTTGAGACGCTGAAGCTGAGAGAAGACGGGAAAATGTAGATCAAAGAGGTTGTCTGGATGAGAAGCCCCATCGACGCGACGGTGGCGGTCGGATTAACCAGCAGACCGCAGAGCAAGATCATGATCTCGTACCACCACCATTCAAGACAAACAGAGACGCAGCTGGGAATGGCCAAATCGAGTAAAGATTTCCACCCTTTCAGGCATTCAGTCGACAGAGCCTCCCATGTCTTCTTGTACACGCCGGAGATGAGGATGTAAACGATCAGAGAAGCGACGAGGTTGAAGTTCGTCCAAACCCCACTGAGCGCCACCCCTTTCGCGCCCATACCCATCTTGATCACAAGAAAGTAATTGATGGGGACGTGGAGGATGATCGAGAGGGCGGCGCAGAATGTCAGGGGCAGAGTGATGGATTGGGTCCTCAGGTAAATTCTCAGAGGATGAAGAAAAGATTGGGCGATAAGATCGGGAATGGAGTACAACAGGTAAGACTGAGCCGCGGCGGCGATCGCCGCATCTTGGCCGCAGAAAAGAAGGATCTTTTTAATGTTGACCCAGAGGAAACCTATGGGCAGAGAGATCAAGAGAAGCAAAAGAACCGCCCTTTGTAAGGTCAATCCGAGGAGGTTGTACTTCTTGGCCCCGAAAGCCTGGCCGCAAATGGGCTCCATACCCATGGCCAGGCCGGAAAGAATGGAGTAGCCGGTGATGTTGGCGAAGCCCAATGCGAGGGAGCCGCCGGCGAGGGAGAGGCCGCCGAGGCGGCCGAGGAAGAGCATGGAGATCATGGAACGGGAGTAGAGGAGGAGGCCGGTGAGGATCATGGGGAGGGCTATTCTGGCTATAGATTCTGCTTCTTTGACGACAAGGGAGAGAGAAACGGTCTTCTCTTGCCGGGGTTTTGACATGAGCAGAGGGAGAGAAAGCATGTTGGTTTTGTCGGTGGCGGTTGACTGGAATTTGTGGTCATCATACGACGATTCCACGGCCACCTCCGCCGCCGCCGCCGTTTTTTCGTCGCTGGTGGTTCGGGGGCAGAGAGCGGAGGCGGGTTCTGTATTAGCTTTACACATTCTGATCGAATGGTTGGTTTTCCTTGTGCAGAATTTTATGAAGACTTGGACTGAAATTCCAATCCCAATCCCAGCACGCGTTCTTGGACTGAATTTCTTTGGGTTTTTCTGAAGAGGAAGAAGGATGGTGTTTAAAGAGGGAAGAGGGGAGGCGGGCTTTTATAGAGGGGAAGTGGAGGACGACCCCCTAAAAGCTGCAACTGTTGAAATTTTGTCCCGTTTTTGGTATCATGTGGTAGCGGATTAGACCCGCCTGCCTCTCACACTCTCACCTCATCTATTATTCTCTGTTTCATTTCAGAAATAAATTCTCCAAATAAGGAAAAATATAAACATTTCTGTTTTGTGTTGAGCTTTTCCAAATGCCAAAAGAGTGAAAAAATAAAGTAGATAATGATTGTTCGATTTACTAAGAACATGTTAGGATGTTTTATTTTAGACTCAAATCTGGCCTGATCTGGTAGTGTGTATTCTATAACTATGGAAGTCTGGTCTGGATTGATCTGGTCTGACCTGATCTGGTCTGGGATGGAAACCAATCAAAAAGAAAACGGCCTTACTCTGTCCTAAAATAATTTCTAATTTCTTCAAAAAAAATTATTTAATTGTGTTTGATATGATCTTGTCTGGTTTTGTGTGTTGAGGGAATGTTCTATGTATGTTTTATAATTATTGAACTGTTTTCCGATTTGTTTAAATGTAGTCTGATATAGTACTATCTGTTCTGAGACTGAAATCAGTCTAATTGAAAGCATCCTTAGTCGATACATTCTTGTTATATGATTTTATCTATGAGTTTGAGTGACAATACTTTGGTATCATTTCAACTATTTTTTTGTAATTCAATAAAATACGTACTTGGTAAATATGTAAACTTTCATATGGAGTTAATATTACTTGGAAAAATTGATTTATATGGCAAGTCAACTGTAAACAAATATTTTTACATCCTTAGGACAGGAGGAATATGTTTTAGTTTTATTTGTGAAAAAACATTCTCCTTATTGAGCAGTATGTAGGTTGCATGTATAAATTTTATACTCCCTCCCTCCCAAATTGTTTTGAAATGTCAAACATTTTTTTGGTCAACCAATACAAAAAGTCAATGTTCCATATCGATAATTAATTACATTTTTAATAATTAAAATTTATATATATTCAGAAACTATATTAAAATCTCTTCAAAGTTGTAAACTCCAAATTAGAATATTATTAAAAATTGACATCCTAATTAAGCAAATGAAATGAAATTGTTTGACGAAGAAACGTTTTTTAAGTCTTAAAGCAATATTGTGGAGTAATTAACGAGGAAGAATGAGTGAAATGTACGAAAATAGATAAAGTGGAAGATGAAAAGTAAGGCCATTTTGTTCTTCTAATATACTCGTATTTGAGATTGTCAAAATGACAGTGGATGAAACAATTAAAGTTTCATAAAAATAAAGCTGAGCATTTAAAAAATGAGAATTATTTTCCCACGGAATATTTTAAATCGTGCTTAAAGGTGGCGGTATGGTTTGATGTCACTTTTAATTAAGAATAATTTCAACTTCATGTGTCTAAAAGTTATCTTTGAAGAAAAAGAACTTATCAAGATATATAAAACCTGCGAACATTACAAAAATAAAATCAAGCAATCTCAGGATAAAAAATCCCTATAATCAGATTTTGAAAGCTATCACTGAAAATTTTTTATAATCACGCATCAAGTAATGGTCATTCTGATGCCTGTATTGAGTCTTTTTTATCTTCATTTACCTTTGGAAAATGACATTTAAGTAAAAAATGACGATTGGACCCTTTTTAACATTTTAATCGGTGAAAGCGCTAAACCATGTTGTTTGCAAAATGGTTGTTCGGTTATAGCATCTTTGGTCGGAACTGTTGAAATGAAAACACTGAATACCGATTAAACATCTTTGAAATGCGACATTATTTCCTAACTGCTACGCGTAACAACTAAATTACTAAACATCTTTTTGGTATCCACTAACTCATTTCGCTAGTCAAACTCGCTGAATAAATCCGCTATCAATAATCCACTAATCGCTAATTGCCAATGCAAACAGATATCTCATTTTTTATTATTCCGTGTCTCTATGAGCCCGTTTGGTTGGACTCTTTTTTCAGGCTTATCAGCCAGTTTTTTCACCAAACACGTAACTTTTCATTTCGCGCGCTGAATTGTGTAATAATAAGAAAAGATAAGATTGGTGTTACTTTTCTGTTTGTATTGGCTGAAGTTATTGTAGAAGATCATTTTAGCTATTTTTGCATATAATTTTTTATTTTATTTATTAATAAAAATTATTTTAAATATAATTTTTTTTATAAATCAATAGAATTAGCTAATACAGCCACTTCAACTAGAACTTAATAAATTTCAGCATAACCAACCAATTCAGCCAATTTCAGTGTTACCAAACAGGCTCTACATGTCAAGTTGGTTGCGCCTATTGGTTTAAGATTTTATTTATTTGACAGGTAGAGTCACCGTTTGTTGCACGGTTGATTAAGAAGAAGTGTATCAAATGGATTTGTTGTGTCTCAACTTCAACAATTCTCTCACTAAAAAATACAATGTAGTATTGTAGTACATATATGATATCGTGTTTGAATATACTACTTTTCATGATCATCAAACTCTTAATTTCTCCCATTGAGGCATTAATAGTTCACCCCCTCTTGTATTACCACCATTGTAAAATACAGGGATGATTGACTATCGTACAAGTGAGAATGATGGTTTCGTTGACCCAAGGGTAGCAGAAACTGAGAGAGAGTCGAAAATAAACTAACTGTAGATTGAGTGTAAAATTTATGCAGCGTAAAAGTAAGCTAGAGTGTAGAAATGGTGACCCCTCTCACGAGTTGGAAGGTGATATATAAAGTGTAAAACAAATACTTGGGTAATAAGTAAAATCAACTAGTCTAATAGAGTAGTGACACATGTAATGGAATGCATAGGGAAAGCTACACATGTAAGTCTGGAAGCTTTTGTGTAAAACCGTCTGAGGTGACGTCAGCCCTAGACAACTGTTATGTTGATGATGTAATCCCAGGAGTAAGTGGAATCGAAGTGCTGAAATCACTAAGTCCACAATCTTCATACGAGGTCTCAAACTATGTGATAGAGGTCGACCTCAGGTGTAATGTGTTTTTGTCAGGAGCAGGGTGACCTTAGCTCGCGATGTGAAGCATCGTTGCTCTTGTTGACCCTTTGACTTTGTAAGGTACTAATTGCCTTTAAGCTCGGCTATAGTGCTGGAATTGGCCCTAACCTTCGCGAGGGACGACCTCGACCTCGGATGTAGTTTTGGACTTGTCTAGATAACCTGAGAACTGGTTTTGGGCCCTACCTTAGTCTCGACGGGAATTGATTTAATGCACCCTAATGGTCTTTATACATAAATATTCATACACCATACATATATGAGAATATACTCAATCAGAAGCATTTGTGTCAGTTTTTACCATTTATGACATTCCAAATAAATTTAAATAAAAGTCAATATATATTGTCTAGTTTATAAAAAAGAAACAAGTGATTCGCGAGGTCCAATTAGGAGCATGTCAAGATATGATGTTATTGACTCTTATCAAGTTAATACAGTGTAAATACAGATATCATAATTTATTGGGATAGAGTTGACTTCAACAAATAACCCGTTTATAGTTATTATGTTATTACGTCGAGGTGGTTGCACCTAACTCTTTGAGATTTTGTGTTTATGGCATGCAGGTTCACTGTACGAATTGATTTGGGGTGTTTCAACTTCACAACTGTCTCACTAAGAAATACGATATTCGTTATGAACTTATTACTTTTCATAAAATTCAAATTCCTAATTCTTTGATGAAGCGGTCATACTCCCATTCCTGAACCCCGATTGTGCGTGTTTGCGGGTTTCCGGATTAAATATGAGCAAAAGTCAAAGATGTTAGTGGATCAAGATGAAATAAATAGTTCATGTGGCCCAGCTTGTAACATTTATTAGTTAGATGTTGTTGGCTCTTACCAAAGTAATATGAAGTAAATGTATGTAAAGACCATACACCATTAACGTTTTCGAATGTAGTAGTTGACTTCAACAAATAACTCCTTTATAGTTAATTCATATCTATGTCAATTTAGTTGTGTGTAGCGTGTCTAAGATTTTATTTATTTGACCGCTTGAGTCACGATTGTTGCACGATTGATTAATAAGATATATATTAAATGCATTTGTTGTGTCTTAACTTCAATAACTATCTCATTAAAAAATATATGATATCTCTTATGAATATACTGCCTTTCATAATCATCAATATCTTTATTTCTCTTTGATGAGGCGGTCATTCTCCCCACTCTTGAACCACGATTGTGGCTGGTAGGGATGACCGACTGTAATACAAATAGGTTTGTTGAATTTGTCATGCATGTTTGTTGTTTTTCGAATTAAATTTGAAAAGTGTTCAACGATGTTTAGTCAATCAGGATGAAATAACTAGTTAATTTGACATAATTTGAAGTTGAACCTGCATTTATTAGTTAGATGTTGGATATTACCAACGTAATATGAAGTAAATGTAGATAATTGTTGGGGTGTAAGAGTTGACTTGAACATTACAGTGTATCTAGGTCAAGTTGGTTGCGCTAAACATGTTTAGGATTTTGTTTATTTGGCCGACGCAGTCACCGTTTGTTGCGCGATTGATTAACCAGTGTATCAAATGGTGGTGACTCAATTTCACAACTGTCTTGTTAAGAAATATACAATATTAGTTATGAATTTATTACTTTTCAAAAACACAAAACTCCTAATCTCTCTTATTGATGAACCAATCATTCGATTCGCCCCCCTCTGTAACCATCATTGTGGCATGTAAGGGTGACCAGCTGCCATATAACTAGGTTATCTGAGTCAGTTGTGCGTGTTTTTGAGTTTTCAGATTAAATATGAGAAGAAGTCAAAGATGTTAATGGATCAAGATGAAATGAATAGTTCATGTGGCCCAACTTGGAACATTTATTAGTTAGACGTTGTTGGCTCTTACCAAAGTAATATGAAGTAAATGTATGTACAGACCATAGACCATTAACTTTTTCGAATGTAGTAGTTGACTTCAACAAATAACTCATTTATGGTATTTATGTCTATGCCAATTTAG